GAAGAAGATCTGTTTTGCTTGGTTCCAGTCTGTTTTTCCGATGGTTGTTCAGCAGTCAGTCATGGTTTTGTTGTAGTCTTGAGGAGACGCGAGCTCGTGGTCCTACTACTCTGCCATCTTGACCAAAAATTCTTATTTATATACTTCTCTGTGAGTCTTTTAATAGGTACACTTAACTGTGGTTTAAGTCTCAATAAATTACTGATGTGTTTGAACTTTTCCTGCTATCTTTTTTTTCTATTCACCATGAATTTCATTTTTTTCTTTTTTTCCTTTCTTGTCTTTAATTGAACTGACTTGAAATGTCTTTCTTTTATTTTTTTCCTCTAATGGTTTGGAATCTATATGCAAGTTGCATTTTAAAAGTGTCAAGTTTAAGGTGCCTACAGTACATCTGGAAATTTTTACCAAACATGCAGTTGGGGATTAAGGGTTTGGAACTTGAAAGAGGAATTGGTATTGAGGATATCATTTCAAAATGTCACCTTGGTAAGTGGAAGCCATGCAGTGTTTGCTATCACCGGGGAAATGATGGTGAGCAAATACATTACTAGGGCAACGTGAGGTACATAGGTACTCAATAAATGTTTTGTGAACATTTAGTAAATGAAGGCGAGAGAGGACTGAGTATAGAATCTGGAAATGGTAACGTTGAAAACCAGAGGAAAAGCCAGCAAATGAGAGAAATGGCTTAAAAGACAGAAAGTGAACTTTGAGAGCAGTATCTCCAAAACCACACAGAGAATTTCCCAGAGGGAGGTGATAGAGAGCAGTGTGTTGCTACAGAGACATTAGGTAGCATGAGGACTGCGATGGGCCTTCGGAGAGAAGACCGGTGGTCTTAGGGGAGAGTTTGAAAGGTGATAGTCAAAGTTGAGGGATAGGGGTTGGAAGCAGAGGCAGGCATAGCATATGGGCTTTTCTTTTATGTAATTGGTCAGGGAAAGATAAAAGGAACTTGTTCATAGCTTCAGGGAGATGTAACCCAGGGGAAAGGCTTTCTTTGGAATGGACTCTACTTCCCACAGTGTTCAAAGAGATAAATAAAAGAGAATTAAGAAGGAATGACTCTAAAGGCAGATTTTTTTTTCTTCCCTAAGGGCTTTCTAAGTGGTAGAAGCCATCAAATCTGGAAGTTCTCATTGGATGTATCCACTGTAGTTCTATGGGTGATCATATTGTCAGAAACCTTATACTTTCTTGCAGGAATCTGAATCTGCATTCTGTCTAGAAGATCCTACTCCTTTTTAAATCTTTGTAGTCCTGACACTGTGTAGATTTAATGGTCTTCTTGGGAGAGAACTAAGTTAGCCCAGAGTCATGGATCTTTTACCCTTCAAAGCCACTTTCCTATTTACATACTAATGATTTAAAATTTTGGAACATACACATACACAGACACAAATGAGTGGTCAGTTCTTGATAATTTGTGGCTAGAAAGGCAGGGAGACTTCAGTCATCTGGGGATCTGGGGATGTGAATAAATTATGGGTACCTCTCAATTTCCAGACACAGAAACCAGAGATTCAGATATAGTTTTTGATATAGGGCTGTTTGAGATAGACTCATTATCAAAACTGTTTACTGTTTAAAACTCAGAAACCTAACTAGTTCAGGTAATACCTTACTGTATTTTACTATCTGAATTAACCATCCAAACTTTAGAAATCTGAATGATTTAGATGGCAAAGAATAATTGTTCTCTCTGATAACCTTTCTCCGTTTTTTTCTTTTTTAATCTAGGAATTGTAGGAAAAAAACAGGGTAATGTGGATTGAAATAAACCATTTCCCCCCACTTATAAGACTACTTTTTTTTTTTATTAGATCCATTTCACTGGGCTTGGCTTCCTCAAGCAAAAGTTCCTTTTTCTGAAGAAATAAGAAACTTGGTTCTACCATATATTTCTGACATGAACTTTGTGCAAGATTTATGTGAAGATCTTTATGAACTTTTTAAGGTAAATAAATTTTTAGTTTTACTTTTTGCAGAAAATTAAATAACTCTTAAGAGATATTTTCCTAATAGAGCTAATTTGCAGTTTATTGCTTCTGATATCACTGCTTGCAGTAGAAGCCGATATAACAAAGAAATTAGCAATTTTACTTTATAGGAG